CCCCCCGAATAATTGCTGGCAGAATTCTATGAAACTTTTTTTAAGTTCCATTTTTCATCATAGATCTTCTGTTTTCTCTGGATTTTATTGCTTTTATATATTTATTTCTCCATGTGAAGTACATAATTATTCCTGTTGAGTTTATTGGGTGAGAGACAAGTGAATGTGGCTGTATAATTTCTTATAGCCACATATGCTGTAGCCATAATTTGGCTTGTCAAAGCACAGTGTAAAGTGTTGTACATCTAAAGAATTTATGAAGACTTTTACCTCAACTTACAAGTCAAGAAAGAGAAATACCTTCCTCAGCTTTGGGAGCTATTGAGGCTCTCATTCTGGATAAACACTGGTTACTAAAAAGCTTTATTAAAGCTTAGGTTGAAAAGCTTTAAGGAGTCTACAGCTTTTGGTAACTTTTATTTGTATTCCTCTTTCCTAGATATTGAGGTTGCATGTTATGGTTATGAAGGCATAGATGCAGTAAAAGAAGCTTTGAGAGCAGGCTTGAACTGTTCCACGGAGAACATGCCCATTAAAGTAAGTGTCTGTCTTAATAGTGAAGTCAAAAGCAAGGTTTTCTGATGCCCTTAGGTATCAGTAGCTTGCGGTTGCAATTGTCACAATTGTGTAGTTGAGTCTGGAAAGCCGTGTACTTGCTTTCTGATTATTCTTTATCAGGGCTGTAGCACAGTTCCTTTCAGCTGTGTGCTGCCAGTTGTCCCTGTGACTGTGCTTTGGCTTCCCAAGTTCAAGAAGCTGTATTTACTCTGTTTAATTTACTGAACTCTAGTGTTGGCGCACTAGGTACCTACTGCTCCTTTATGCCGCCTTAGGTAGGAAGCAGCAAATTCTGGTTTTGGGTGTAAGATTATGTAAGAATGTGTGGTCCATATATGTTTGAGTGTTGGTAGAGTGGCTTCTGTACCCAGGCCTAGTTTTTCTCTGCAGTGACTTTCAGATATTGAGTGCATTACTGAACAAGTGTTTTCAAAAAGCCTGAAAGTACTCCCATCTTTGAAAATGGTTTCTTGTAACAGAAAGAAAAGTTTACTTATCCGGTCATCTTAAAAACAAAACAAACAAAAATAAAAAAAACCAAAACAACAACAACAACAAACCAAATAAAACCAACAAAAAAACCCAAAAGAAACCAATCAAACAACCCGAACAAAAAATAAAACCAAAACCAAACAAGAAACCCAACAAAACCCCACAAACAAAAACCAAAACCAAAATCACACACAAAAAACCCACCAAAACAAACAAAAAGCCCCACACAACCAACCTCCCACCTGAAACAACGTACTGGTTGTCCCAGTCTTTTAGCTGTTTGAAAAACTATGTGATAGGCTGTTCTACTGATCTGCAAAGTGGATATTCTCTCTGCTTAGCAGTATTTGCCTAAATAAGCATTCTGTGTAGAAATAACTGATGTTGGTGTTGGAAATTGGACAGGCCGTGTACTTTCTTGTCTGCCATTTCCTTCCAAGCTGTTTATATTTCTAGAAAGGCTTTTTCTGATGGGAAGCTGTTTCTTTATTGAACTGTATATTCAGAACTATGTTGCTCAGTTTGCTTTGCTTTTGAGGTTTTTCTTTCTTTGCTTTTTGTTACCGAGTTTGCTTTTTTTCCTTCCCCTCCATCCCTACAATGTGATAGATCAATCTGATAGCCCCTCCTCGTTACGTGATGACAACAACAACACTGGAGAGAACTGAAGGGCTTTCTGTTCTAAATCAAGCCATGGCTGTAATTAAAGAAAAAATTGAGGAGAAGAGAGGAGTCTTCAATGTGCAGATGGAGGTAAGAACACATTACATTCTAAAATGTAATTTTTCCTTGCAGCACTTTTAAAGTAGAGCAAGTCAGTAGTGCTAGGAGAAACTTTAGCAAAAAGTTAAGAAACTAAAGAAGCCCTAAACATCCATCTTTCTTAAATGGCCCAAAATCCTAATTTTCCTGTTTGGTTTTTTTATTGTATGACTTCAGGATGTATTTTATCTCTTGCTCTTTATGTAGAATCAGAGCCTACAAATATATATGATCTTTTTTAATGACAGTTTACCATGTGTTCTGTTTTGGGTTGTTTTTTTTTCCAGCCTAAGGTGGTTACTGACACAGATGAGACTGAGCTTGCGAGGCAGTTGGAGAGACTGGAGAGGGAAAATGCTGAAGTGGATGGGGATGATGATACTGAGGAAATGGAAGCCAAAACTGAAGACTAAATATTCTCAGATATTTAGAAGAGACAGACCGTATGAAAAATTAGAGACCCCATTGCAAACACTCTGGACTAAATGTTTCCAGTATTGAAAACTTTAAATGCAAATATTTGAAATGTGTTACTGTTTTAAAAAGACCAATATGTGAAAGGCTCTTCTAAATAACATGTGATGCAGCAACTTACACAAGTTGAATCCTTTGCAGGGAAGATTCCTAGTCAAATTCAAGACACCAGTCTGGCCAGAGGGAGGTTGCGGCCCCATGCTTAACACTTTCATACATAACAAATCCTAACTGGTGTTTACTGCTCAATGCATCTCTTACTGATCTTTCCTGGGAGCACCAAAACCAAGCAAGCTGAACAGTTCTATACAGAATGTATTTGAGCGAATATTCAATAAATTTCTGGGCTATGTAACTGCAAGATTCTTTTTCCACTTTTGTCACATGGTGTAGAGAGATACGAATATAAAACCTAGAAGAGTATGGTCAGTGGGTGGCTCCCCTTTAACACTGAAAGAACTTTTTTTTGATTGCTTTAAGTCAAGCCAAGAATAAGTGGAAAATTGTTTTCTTTCAATTTTGTTGATGCAGACTTCTTTATATGAGCATTTCCTTTGATTTTTATCAGCATCTGGGGATGGAGAACTTGAAAACCTTGAACATAGCTTGTTACCATTCCAATAAACATAGCCAATAAATGAAAAATTGCATATAGCTGCAGTTTGCTCCTATAGGTGACTCTGGCAGGAGCTTTTAATGAACCTACTCATGCTTCAAAATAGACAGTGCTGTCTTCTGAGCTCACTGCTGCATGACCTCTACTCCCTACTCTAAATCTAGAGTCCTGCTGGGCTGGGCTGTTCACTCTAGAAACAACCTGTTTATTGTTCCCGAATAAGAGAAACAAGATGTGTTTTCCATGTTGAAGTATAAGGAAAAGCACCAATCCACAACCCTGTTTTCCTTGTCTGTGGGAACTGGGGGGGGAGGGAGTTGCTTCTGTTTAAGTAACCTTTCCAAATTACTGACTTTTTTAACATACCTTTTTTCATTGTCATGTCTCATGTTGCATGTCTCTTTTGGTCGTAATGTTTTGTGCTGCTGGAGGAAAAAAATAATGAAAAACGAGGCTTTGGGCCTTCACTAGGAATCCTTAATATTGCCAGAGTACAAACAATGTGATTGCTACCTGGAGTTGCCACAAAGGGCATGCACATTGCAGTCCATGGTTGATTATCAGAGAAGTTCACAGGTAGCTGACCTTTACTACACAAAGTCAAAAATGTTAGGTAACTTCTAGTCTTTGCAGAATGTTGGAAAATAACCTGAATGTGTCATCACAAAATGAAGAAAATTTTTTTAATCTTTTTTGTTTTTTCAAATTGGTGTCTTTTCAGAAACTGTGACAGCCTTGTCATGGCTTGAAGTTGTGATTATGTTAGCTTCCTGTTTGAAAAGCTCTTCCAACTTTGCCCATTAACTAAAATAATGATTTAACTTCTATTAAACACAATGTGTGGGTGCTCAGACAACAGAATGATGTTTAAAAACTAAGAAGTCGCCATGTGACCTGTATGCCAAAATAATGCTGCAAAGCACTGATAAATGTGCGCTTTCCCTGGACATTATCAGGAGGTCACCATTAGTATCATCTCTAAGAACTGGTTTGGTGTGTTTAATATGCGAGCATCATATTTTGTCATTAACATAGGCCAAAGTTTCCTGAAGTTGTTCACTAAGTATAGTAACTCTTCCAATTAGAGCCTTGGTGTGCTGGTGTACCCAATTCTGTGTCGTTTTGAGTGCCTGAAAAAAAATGACCCAAGATGGTGGGGGTGGTAACAAAGCAGCTTAAGACAAATGCATTTCAATCACTTGTTACCCTGGCAGGTAAAATCAGGCTCTGCTGTTGCCAGAGCACATTTTAACCAAGAAGTTTAAACAAAAGGTACCAAACAATTTAGTGGGTATTTCTCATGTGTTGTGGTAGCTGCAAGAGGGAGGTCTAAGGTGGCCACTCTGGAGGCCTGCTGGGGAGATGTGTGTCAGGGAGTGCTGAACCTGTGCAGCCCGTGCTGCGCCTCGGCTGTGCTGCTTCAGTTGCCGTAGCCTGTGACTTAAGGATCTTGAGAAGGTGTTGAGATTACACCCTCTGTTTCAACTGTCCCCTTTGTGTGTGTGGAACTGCATTTGCTTACCAAGTACTTAAAATATGGGTGGTGGGTTTTGTGTGAACGTCTTTGCTAAAGCGAGGTAGTGTGTTCCTGCTCTTCATTAGCAGCTGTGCTGTTTACTCAGTTGCGATTGCAAGGCAAAAATCTCCACTTGCACTCATGTAGTCAACTGAAGGGAAAGGTCCTGTGTCCCTGTGGTCAGGACTTGGCCTGATGCATTACTTGTAAGGATCTCAGCTTGACTTTCATGTCCCAGATTAATTCTGTAAGATTGGTGGCCTGGAAACGGTTTTACTTACAGCATCTGCTAAGGACTCATTGATACAAAGCAACTCTAGAGGTACAGGCTCAGGTCAGGCACACAGTCCAGTAACACAGCCCAGTATCCTGTTTCCAGTTCAGGGAAATAATGACTCCTAAAGCAAAAGCACCCTCCTTGCTTGGGGCTGTTGTGGTTTGTGTGGTTAATGCAGTGACAATTCCTCGTCATTTTCTCTCCGATTCTGGCCCTCAGGTTCTTTTTAGATGCAGTGGAGCTGGCACGTTGTTCTTCATAGCGGAACCTGCACTTTGGTATTTAATTTCTGATCGTTTCTTGTTCCAGAGTCTAGACAATTAAACAACTGTTTTCAGACACTGCCACCTTTCTACAGGTAATTTAAAAAATGCTGTTATGTCAGAATACTTTTGAACGCTTGTCATCTTTCAGCTTTATCTAGAAATCTTTCACCTTGCTTTATTTTAATGTGGTCTGTTTTCATTTTATTTCATCCCTAATCCACTAAAAGAACTCGATACTTAACGGTGTCCTGTGCCAGAGGGCAAAGTCCTAGCATCTTAAGAAGCTGCTTTGAAAAAGCTGGCTACATGTAATCCCCTGTTTGATGTGATGATACGCAATGGGCATTGCAGAGCGTGTAGTGGGGGCTGTCCTGCAACAGGCAGGTTCTCTTAATCAGCTCTTCATGGTTTCTGGAGGGATTGACCAAGAGGTACCAGCAATGTCTGTCACCTCAGCCAGCTGAAATGACAGTCTGCGCTCAGAGCTGGCTGGTCCAGCCCTTCATTTTAACCTGGAGTAGCATCCTGTGGTCCTGAAGCCTGCAGCTGGCTTTTCCTGGCCATCACAGCGCAAGTTCTATAGCATATGAAGTATTTTGGGGGTAACTTGAATAGAAGAAAATGTGTAGCACCCAACTGTGCTTTTTTGTTAAAATACTACGCTGAGATGTGGGAAAACGCCCTAAAATGGATCTGAGGAAACAGATAGTCCTTGCTTCAGTGAGTTTCAAGTCCCACAGAAGACATGATAAAGAGCTTCCTAGGTTTACACAGATTGAAGCATGTCCTTTTCCGCCGGGAGACTTCAATGCCAGAACTTGCCTTCCTAGCACATGCGTGAATACGGCAGCCCAGATCTACTGACTCATTTTACACTGTGACCCTTTTCCCACAGGGCTGAGAAGTGTTTTTGCTCATCCGCAGGGAGCAATATAGGGGCAGTTTTTTGGCCTTCATTAGCTACAGAATGAGAGAGGGAAGGAGGTGTGTGTATGATAAATATCTAAAGTATTGAAGAAATATTTTGAAGTATTGAAGAAAGTGAAGGCTCTAGATTACAAACAATAGTTGATACGAACGTTGTTTAATGACCAACTGCCGCAATACTTGCTTCACCATTCACCGGCATTTTGACAGTAACATCCTTCATTGCTAATCATAATTTTCCAAGCTCCATCTGCAGGGGTGTGGGCGGTCTGCATGCTGGAGAAAAAGCTTGCTCAGATCTTCAGTGAGGACTGGTAATGGTGCAATCTTGAGATCACTGAGCGAGAGCCCCCTGCAAGCTTCTGCCTGTCCTCACTAGCACGAAATTATCTCACCCACCTTGTTATAAATTGCCTGCAGTAACAAGCTGAACAATGTGAAGTCAAACCTCAAATACCAAATGGTGGAACACGGTATTCCTGAGCTGGTTCTATGAAGAGTGCGTGTCCTGGAAGTACGTGCAGCAGTAATGTATCTCATGGACCTAGACTCAAGTTTTCTTTTTTCTCAAGTTTAATTCTGATGTACAGAACATTGTGATCTGAATTTTTTTTTTTTGCTGACTGCATTGTTTTTTTCCCCAAGATCCTGCTTCTGAGGACAACTTCTATTTCTGTTTATACACAGAGACGACTTTGTATTTCTTTTAGTTTTTAAAAAATACTCAGTTAATTTCTGCTTTATTTTAAGGCTACAACAATATTTTTAAAAAATACTAGAAATTTCCTTTGATATCTCTGAAAACACTACATACCTACAGCAAAAAATACTCTTCTTGGTGTCCTGTTAACTGTACTGTACTCACAAACATAACAAGGATATGACTATGCAACCAGTTGCGTTATGTCTGCCTGCCTTTTCCAAAGTGGCAAAGGGAGTACAGAGGAAGCTACAAACGTAACTCCTATATGGTCCGGCTGCTTTGAAATGTGAGCCAGCAGGCTTTATCTTTAAACAGCAATTGATTTTTTTAACTTCGAGTAGCATTCAGTCACCCATTGTATTTCTCATGATCTCTGTGGGACTGTTTTCTGGGTTGTCTCCAGGATGTTGTCAGGCTGAAATACCTTCTTGAGTGTCTTGCTCTTCCTTGCTGAAAGTTATAAAAAATATTATAAAGAAATTATTTGTTTGTTCCTTTTCCTTGGTACATGAAAGTGTCTAACTTGTTGTGCAAAGACAGCCATACCTGAGTCACTTTGTCTTACTGAACTCTGGACTCACTTTTTACATAGCAACGAGTGCCTTTGTTTATTTGTTGTACTCTATGTTGTGCTTCTTATCACAGCCCCTAGCTCTGCCCACATATATCACCCTCGTTCTGGTGCAAGTCAGGGAGTACTAATAGTACAGCAGAGACCAGGACTCCTGAGCAGTAGTGCTGTCTGAAATACTAATACTGATTTATTTCATCAGGACAAGAATTGCTAAATCTCTCAAACAGATTTACCATGGCCAAAGTCTTCAAAAATGCAATAACCATCTAAGCTTGTATTTAGACACAAGAAAAGGCATTCTGTTTCAGAGGTGCTCGGGAGTTACAAGAGGTCACTGCACAGTGTTCATTGATCAGACAGCTTTACTAAAATCCCAAATAGTTGCTTGTTTTAGAATCTTGGTTTATATGCTCAGAGGTCACTGAAAGTAGAGTGGGCTTTTAGGTGCTTTGCGGCTTCTTTGGTAAAAGAAATTTCT